CAATTAATCTTAGTGGTAGGTTTCCCATACACTTTAAACCCGAACTAAACGAACATTATGCCATGAGTTTATGCATAAACCGGCAACCAATATGCTGCCAAAGGTTTAGCTAACGTCGGCATATTGCTCAAGCAAGGCATTCAAAGTGAATGAAAGCAACCATACCAACGAAGAGTAATGGGATAAACCGGCAACCAACCATTAACCAGCCATAGAATATCACTCGACATAAGGGACAAGGCCATTAAATACAATTACATCCTCATAGCCACGGTGAATTGCAATCTAGAAACTAAAAAAACTAGAAACAGTTTCTGGTTTTTTTCCAGAAACTGCACAACAGGGTTTACAAATGTACATATGAGAACAATATTCAAAAGTAAGGCCAAATAAAATGTAAGTATAGAATGATGCATTGTATAGAGAACATTCTTAACAGATGAACAAGGTTCGTAATATAGCTAACCTAGCAGGTATGCACATAAACTTCACAGCGTTTGATGAAGTCTAGAGGCTGAAATCACCAGAAACAGTTTCTAGTTTTTTTTTCTAGAAACTGAACAAAAAGGGGTTCCAACATACTAGTGCCCCGATGAAGTATAGAGGCTGAAAGCACCAAAAAAATCACCAGAACAACAACTGTTTTATTCCACAATACGAACATAGGCAAAAATGCCATCTAGAAACTGTTCTCAGAATGTAATCTAGAAGAGAAAGCACTAGAAACAGTTTATGGTTTTTTTCCAAAAACTAACAAAAAGGGGTTCCAACATACTAGTGCCCCGATGAAGTATAGAGGCTGCAAGGACCAAAAAAATCACCAAAACAACAAATGTTTTTTTTTCCACAATACGAACATAGGCAAAAATGCCATCTAGAAACTATTCTCAAAATGCAATCTAGAAGAGAAATCACTAGAAATAGTTTATGGTTTTTTTCCAGAAACTAAAAAAAGGGGTTCCAACATACTAGTGCCCCGATGAAGTATAGAGGCTGAAAGCGCATGAAAAAATCACCAGAAATGCCAAGGTTTTTTTTTCCATAATACGAACATAGGCTTTCATCGAGATGCCATCTGGAAACAGTTTCTAGTTTTTTTCCAGAAACTAACAAAAAGGGGTTCCAAAATACAAGTGATTCGATGAAGTCTAGAGGCGGAAATCACCAAAAAAATTCACTAGAAATGCCAATTTTTTTCCCCAGAAGAAGAACATGTGAATTCACCAATATTAGTGCTCGGAATTGGATCTAGAAACCGAAATCACCAGAAATATTTTCCATCAACTGAACATAAGGTTTTGGAAAAAACTTACCGAATTCGAGCCTATGGAGGAGCAGATTTGGTTCCCTTGGAGATTCCCCAAATGCGAGGAAGGATTAGCAAGTCTGAGGTACCGACGACGAGAGAGGTAGGGGGAGTAGGTTTGACGTCTCGGCTGGAGAGTTTTCCGGCGTGCACTGTTGCCTCTACATCGACGTAGGAGGTTTACCCACCGAGGTCGCCGCACCGACAGAGTCCCAACAAATTTCCCCGTTTTGAAGGGGTAACAAACGATGACAATGGTAGAGGAAGGGGGACACAAAACATGCGGAATGGGGTCGATGGGGTGGGCGACGATTTTGAAATCTGGAGATTGGGGGAAAATGGCGCAATGGATTGAAGGCTTCAGAAATCGAATGAACGTTGAAGGAGCAGACCCAACAACTATGGTCAAATGGTTTCGAATCTCGCTAACAGGAGAACCACGTGATTTGCAGTGTAGAAAGAAGAGCTGAAAGCAAGCTTAACCAAGGGTCAGGAATCTGCACTGTAGAAGTGCATAGAAGTAACTCAAGTGGCAGGGGGAAGTTGAACTCAAAAACCGGTAGCTAACTCGAATTAATTTTCGAGTTCCAATTCGAGTTTTGCACAACCGAACGTGAACTTGGGCTTACTTTCAGCACTCGAGTGGGCTTTCTCGAGTAAGCTGAAGTAAACGAACAGGCCCTTAGTTTTTAATTTTTTTTTGATAAAAAAAACCTCAACTTTTTTTAAAAGATGACAGTTTAATCATTTCGTCAAATTTTTAACAAAAACAATCACGTAACTCATTTTTTCAGTAAAATGATTTAAATGCCCCTGTTAGAAATGCCGCCTTCTTCTTCTTTTTATTTTTTCTCCAAATTTCTATCGGCGCCGAAAAATAGCAAAATGCCGTCTTATTATTGTCTTCTTCGCCCAAAAAGAAAAAAGAGTAAGAAAATCCGGCCGACATTTCTGTGGAGATCTATGGCTTCCCCAAGAGGAACGAGGAGAATGACGCTGAGGCAAAGAAGAACATAAGCTCCGAAGCCTCTTTCGGTGTCCTTTCCGTCTTTCGAGGATGAAGATAGCGACAACGGTAGTGGTTCCGAAGCCAAATACGATGACGTTTGCTGCGAGAAATGTGGGTCTGGTGACTCTCCGACAGATCTTCTTTTATGTGACAAATGCAATAGAGGGTACTGTTGTGTGAGAAAATTCACATCAACACGTTGGACAATGATCATGCCACACGTGGCCCCATGCTTGCCACGTCAGTTAGCTGTCGACGCCCGAGCCTCATTGGTCTATCTCGTATGATATGAGAGCCGAACGCATAAGGGGACTAATATTGTCGACCCTATACATGGTCGAGGCCTGCAAGACCAGCTCGTGCAAAATAACGTGATGGTGTCCGCCGTGAGAGATGCTACCCGCGACAAATTTTGGCATGGACGCCGAGGGCAGAACGCAAGCAACTGGATCCACATCCTAAGGAAGACCCCTGAGAAGATCAACTGAATATCCCAAGGTTGCATATGGGTTTGGAGAAGGTCAGTGGCACAAGAAAGGATTACAAGCCCCTAAAACCTCCTGGAATGGATCACTAGCTATTACAGGGGATCTATAGAGCCGTAATTGGGGGACAAATTGGATGAGTGAACAGTCCAAAAGGTAATGACAGGCTGCGGTCTAAACAAATGAGGCCATAGGCCACTCGAGTGGATGGGCCCCATGAAAGACACGGTCAAATGGTCAAAACTGCTTACCATTGGGCAAGGATTATGTAATATCCGCTATAAAAGGAGCAAAGCCCCCGTGAGAAAGGGCTCTTGGATCTTGTATGTGTAATTTGTAAGAACAAAAACAAGAGAAATACAATACAGTGGTTGTAGCTCTTTTTGAGAAGGGTGAACCACTATAAAACCTCTTCGTCTTTATTTTCATAAGGGACATAACGATTTCTTTTGATAATACACCAATACAAACTCTAGCAAATCCAGAAAAATTACAAGTTTCAAACTGGTAACCCAATGGGCTACCGCAGGGTAATCTGGTAAGGTCTTGTTGACGAAAATCGATTGTCAACAATTGGCGATTCCACTGGGGACCGAACCTAGAATCTCTGGTTCACGTGTTCAACCTCAGACAACAAACGATCATGCCTCCGAGAATAAAAAATGGTGCTTCAAATCCAAACAGCCAAACAAAGGAAAATACCATGCATCCAACCAATAGTGGGAGTAGGGGGAATCAGCCCGACTAGGGGAATTAACCCTCGGTGAGGGATAAAGCTCCACCCACAGGCACGCCACAGCTTGACCCGGTACAGATGCAGGCCCAGCTGAATACTTTGACCGACTTGGTTCGAGGACTAACGATCGTTGTCGAGCGATTGGAAGGAAGAAATTATATGCCTCTATTACAAGATGCCCCGAGACCATTAAGAGCTGCCATCCGCCAGGGTGCCCCGGAAGGGATCGGGGACAGTGAAAATGTCAGGGGAGATAACCTGAGACCTCGACCGTCCAAGTCCCTGGGTAGCCGACAAATGGCCGCCAGGTGATGAACCTAGGAAAGAAGAGCACTCGCCAGCCTGGAAAACCCTGAGGCGCCACCTCAAAACCCAGTAAAGAATATCCTAGGAGATTCGGGGTCGGTACAAGAAGGTGGAGACCTAAGGGATAAGCTAAATACGAAGAAAGCAAGAGCCTCGAAAGGAGCTAGCTCTGTAATCTCTACGGAAGAGGCTAAAGCCATTATGGAGCGTGTGACGAGCCTAGAAGAAAAATTCACAGGTGACGTCGCCGGTTTAAAGAAAGACGTCAGAAGCCAGGTGAGCCACCTACAAAAGAACCTTGGACAGGTGGCAGAGGTGGTCAACATCGACATCACTCCCAGCCGAACTCACGACCACCCTTTTATCGCAGAGATCATGGCGCCACCTTTACTCGACAAATATAAGTCCCCGACTATCCCATCATACGATGGCAGAGGGGATCCCGACGAGCACCTGGAAATGTACACAGGGCACATGCTTCTGCATGGATATACGGAGGAGATAATGTGCCTAGCCGGAACCACTTGACGGACTCTGCTCGAAGATGGTTCTGGACACTAACCAGAGTTCATCTCCAGCTAGGAGGAGCTGAAGGAAGCCTTCTTCCTTCAGTTCATTGTGGTAAAGAAGTACATCCCGCCGAAGTAAAACCTAACAATGGTATACCAAAAACCAAACGAGTCATTAAAAGAATGGCTTGTAAGGTACGAGGAAGCCGTCGCCCTTACAACAGACATGACGGACCGGGAGGCTCTGATGGGGGCCCTGTCCAGTATGAAAAAGACCACACCGTTTAAGCGCGACCTAAACCGAAAGCCCCCGGCCACCTATAAAGAGTTTTTGGCATGGGCACAAGGGTATATCAACGCTGAGGAAGCCAATGCAAACGATCCCGAACACAGGTCTAATAAAAACAAAGGACCAGAACATGGGTTGACCTCGGGGAAGCAAGATAATCAGAAACGACGAGGTGGGGGAAACGGAGATAAGCAGACCGCGTCGACACCAAACCCTCCGGAGACAAAGAAGCCAAGGCAAGAGGAAAATCAAAAGCCTCGGCCATTCCAACGGTATGACTCCTACAACGAGCTTACTGTAGGCGTCGAGGAAGTATTCAATCAGGTCGGACGAGGAAACTTATTACAATGACCGAAACCAATGAAGTCGGACCCAAACCAAAGGAATCAGAGCAAGTATTGCCGGTTCCACGGTGACGTCGGCCAACACACCAACGATTGCGTTGACTTAAAGGTTGAAATTGAAAGGTTAATCCCCGAAGGGAGGCTGCAAGAGTTTAAGGCTGAAAGGCGAGGTCATGGTCCCGGAAATGACGGTCGACGCCGAGAGGAGAATTGGCAAGGGGAAGATCGCGAGCCGGTCGGCGTCATAAGGACCATACACGGAGGGCCGTATCTCGGGGGAGATTCCAGGAAGTCCCAGAAAAGTTATGCCCACGAAGCGAGGGGGTATACCAGGAGAGGTTTAGAGAAAATGTCATGGCTATTGTATGGGTTCACAGGGGACTCAGTCATCCCCCAAGGGATGATTCGGCTGTCGATAACCACGGGAGAAAAACCCAGGTAGGTAATCACAATGGCAAATTTTGTGGTGATAAAAGGAGGCTCACAGTATAACGCTGTAATAGGAAGGTCGACCCTTCAGACTCTAAAGGCGATAACCTCCATTTATCACCAAAATGTCAAGTTTCCAACACCCAATGTCGTAGGGGAAATAAAAAGCAACCAATACGAGTCTAGAGTAGCATACTCGGACGCCATACGCGGGTACGATCAACCGGGAAAACAAAAGGCGAGAATGGTATAACAGGGACCAGTTAAGGACATAGACCCTAGGGTCACGGAAGAATCATGGTCCCAACCAATCGAGCAACTGGTGAAAATCCAGGTGGATAAGCGGGAACCAACGAGGGTACTGAAGATATGGTCGGATCTGCCGTCGGTGCTCAGAATCGAGGTTGAGGAATTCCTGAAGAAGAATCTGGATGTGTTCACTTGGACACATGCAGACATGGAATGCATTGACTCCCAAGTCATGTGTCATGCTCTGAACGTCGACCACACTTACCCCCCAAGACGTCAAAAATGCCGACCGATGAATCCAGAAAGGTACGAGGCTTTAAAGGAAGATGTCAACAAGCTCATCAATACGGGAGGCTCACTATCCCAGATGGGTTTCAAACCCCATCATGGTAATCAAACCTAATGGAACGTGGAGAACATGCGTCGACTTCAGCGACCTCAACAAAGGCCTAAAAGACGGTTTCCCACTTCCCCGAATAGATCAGATGGTCGACGCCACTGCTGGGCACGAGTTGTTAAGTTTCATGGATGCATACTCCAACTATAGCCAAATTCCAATGCATCCATCCGATGAAAAACATACTTCGTTCATAACAGACATGGGCCTCTATTGCTACAAGGTAATGCTCTTTGGCTTGAAGAACACAGGGGCAACGTATCAAAGGCCAGTAAACAAGATGTTTGCTAAATAAATCGGAAGAACGATGGAGGTATATGTCGATGATATGCTGGTAAAAAGCATCAAGGCAAGATAGCACGTCGACCATTTGGGTGAAATGTTTGATGTGTTAAGGAAATACCACATGAAGCTAAACCCCTTGAAATACGTTTTTGGGGTCGGGTCAAGAAAGTTTCTTGGCTTTATGGTTAGTAATCGAGGAATAACGGCCAACCCGGAGAAGATAAGAGCTTTACAGGATATGAGGTTTCCCGCGAAACTAAAAGAGGTCCAAAGGTTGACAGGATGTGTCGCCCCCCTAAATAGATTCATATCTAAGGCGAGTGGTAAATGTGTTCCCTTCTTTGATGCCTTCAAGGGAGGTAAGCGTTTTGAGTGGACACCTCAATGTGAAGAGACCTTTCAGAGGCTGAAGGAGCACCTTGGCAGACCTCCTATCCTATCGAAACCTATATCAGGCGAGAAGCTAAGCTTATACCTATCCGTATCAAAGCATGCCATAAGCTTAGTACTGATCAGAGAAGAAGGGATCCAGTTGCCAGTCTACTACGTAAGCAAGATGCTCCTAGACGCCGAGTCAATATATATATCCAAATGGAACAGTTAGCTCTTGCCTTGATGGTGGCCTCGAGGAAGCTTCAGCATTATTTCTAGGCCCACACCATACGATTCCTAACGAACCACCCGCTAAGGCAAGTGTTACAAAAACCTGAAACCTCGGGTCGACTCTTGAAATGGTCGGTAGAGTTAATTCGACATCGAATATATACCGAGGGCGGCAATCAAGGGACAAGCACTGGCGGACTTCCTGGCCGAATTCTCCCACAGACCGGCGTTAGCTGCCGATGGAGAAATTAAGGAAATAAGATGGAAGCTTTATGTGGATGGAGCGTCGAATGAAACTGGGTCAGGAGCCGGCGTCATGCTAATAAGCCCAGAAGATCACAAAATCACCTCGGTGGTATGATTCAAATTCAAGGCGTCGAATAATGTAGTAGAATACGAGACACTGATCACAGGGTTACGGTTAGCGGGTCATTTAAGGATTGAGAGACTCAAAGTTTTTAGTGACTCTCAACTAGTGGTCGGGCAGGTGAAAGAGGAATATCAGGCACGGGGAGAAAGAATGGGGGCCTATCTGAGAAAGGTAAAAGAAGAGCTCACAAAGTTCAAAAGCGACGAGATACAACATGTGCCAAGAGCCGAGAATACAAATGCTGATGCCTTGGCCAAACTGGCATCCTCGAAGGATTCAGACCTAGTAGGGGTCGTCCCCATCGAAGAATTAGAATGACCGACCATTGACGAGGCGGTAGAAGTCCTGACTATTCAGGCAGTTGGGAACTGGATGACACCCCTCGTCCGGTACTTGACGAACGCAGAGCTGCCCAACGACAGAGACGAATCCAGAAGGATCAGGTACAGAGCCGCTAGATATCTACTATATGATGGTTTGCTATACAGTCTAGGCTTTTCAACGCCTTTATAGCGGTGCCTAGATGATCATGAGGCGCAAGAGGTCCTCAGGGAGATCCATGAATGAGTGTGTGGTAATCATACTGGGGGATAATTTCTAGCTCTTAAGGTTTTAAGGCAAAGATACTATTGGCTTACGCTTAAAAAGTCACGTTTCAGACCTCTACACCTTGCACCCGGAGGCCTTAAGTTCGCTATTGTTGCATTGGATTACTACACTAAGTGGGCCGAGGTGAAAGCTCTTACTTCGACTACCGAGGCAGCCTGCACTAGCTTCATATGGAACAACATTGTATGTTTATTCGACGTTCCACACTCGATCGTGTCTGACAACGGAAAGCAATTTGACAATGCCTCGACGCGCAAGTTTTGCGATGACTTAGGCATATGAAAGGACTTATCAGCCCTAATACACCTGCAGTCCAATGGCCAAGTGGAGACCATCAACAAAATCTTAAAGTATACCCTGAAGAAGAAGCTTGATGACCTAAAGGGAAAATGGGCCGAAGAACTTTCAAAAGTTTTGTGGGCATACAGAACGACGAGTCGAACCACCACGAGCGAAACACCATTCTCTATGGCATATAGAATCGAAGCTGTACTCCCTGTGGAGATTGAGACGCCGACTCTAAGAACGGTCGTGTACAACAACGACATAAACATGGAGGCCATGAACGGAGAACTCGACCTATTGGAAGAAAAAATGCTCGACTCCCAATTACGACTCGCCGCTTACCAAAGGAGGACAGCTCGATACTACGACAAGAAGGTCAAACGAAGAAGGTTTGTCCCAGGAAATCTGGTGAGGGTGACGCAGAATACCAAACCAAAAAATACTGGCCCCCTGGGCCGACTTGGGAAGGACCCTACCTCATAAGGGAGGTGCTACACCTAAGGACCTACGTTCTGGAAAGCCTCACTGGCAAACGGATTCAACACTCATGGAATGCAGAGTAGTTAAAACTGTACTATTAATAGTGTACGAATTCTGACATGCTTTAATTGTGTTTGGCATTTCATAAATATAAACAAAGCTTATTCATAGCATGTGTCTAAAAATTAACCCCTTAAATATGTCTGTCTAAAAATCAAAATTTTTCAAACACACATGGGGGGAGTAAAGGGTCTACGGATCACAAAAAATAAGCATATACCCAATGAAACACTGCCTCCTTCAAGGAGGAGAGACGATTTACTTAGTAAATTTTAAGGAATTTGCCAAAACGATGACCCTAACGGGCAAAATGAAGCGTCGCCTCCTCCTAGGAGGAAAGACGATTTACTTAGCAAATTTTAAGGAATTTGCCAAAACGATGACCCTAAGGGGCAAAATGAAGCGTCGCCTCCTCCAAGGAGGAGAGACGATTTATTGAGCAAATTTTAAGGAATTTGCCAAAATGATGACCCAAAGGGGAAAAATGAAGCGTAGCCTCCTCCAAAGAGGAGAGACGATTTACTTAGCAAATTTTAATGAATTTGCTAAAATGATGACCCTAAGGGGTGAAATGAAACGTTGCCTCCTCCAAGGAGGAGAGACGATTTACTTAGCAGAATTTTAATGAACTTAAAAATAAAGACAATTAGATGCATATAAAAAAATATATTTATATAATCCATTGTCCGAATAGTAAAATAATATTACAAAAAGAGAAGTTATGATTCGGCTCCCAACATCCTAGGCCTCGTTGCCTCCACCACCTTGAGTGTCCTCACCACCATCAGCTGTAGCTTCCCCGGCTCTGCCGCTGCCTTCGTCGCCCCCGCCTTAGGCAGGAGAACCTTCGTCGTCAGAAGGGGGCTCGTAGAGGAAGTCGAAGTTGAGGCCAGGGAGATGCCTGTTAATTCTTGCCACGATTTGCTCGCCAACAGACAGTATGTCATTGGCGCACATATCATGTAACTCCTTAGAGGTTTTAAAATCCTCAACGGCCTTAGCAGTAACATCTGCATTATTTCAAGCAAACTCGGCAGAAGCAACAAATTTCTTAACCCCCTCATTCTTACCCAGGTTGTAGCCCTCATGCTTACCAAGGTTGTATCCCTCTTTTCGGAAGACATCCTTGGAGTCAGCAGCCTGTTTGCGGATGAGCTCAGTCTCCTTCCGGGCACGATCCAGATCCGCTTTAACCTTATCCAGCTCCTTGACGACAAGGGTAAGCTTTTTTGAGGTCTCCTCCTTACTATCTCTCTCCTTTTTTAGGAGAGCCTTCAAACGCCCCTCGATGCGGTCCATTCCCCTACTTCTCTCTTCCATCTTAACCATATCGATAAAGTTAAGAAATGCATATAACATATAGACGACGAAGTATACATGGATCTGAAGAGAGATCTGCTGGCGCATGCGGCCGATCAGAGAAGCTAGAGTCGCGCTCTCCCAGTCCTGCTAAAAAAAAGACTCGTATAAAGCCTGGAAGACAATGGAAAAGTGCGGGGGTAGACTCACTGCCGCTTCAATCTGGGCCGGGGGGACATCAGCAACGATGAACTGTGGATCGAGGACCCTTGCCCCGGGAAGCAATATACATTTTTTGGGCGGTGGGGCCTCAGGAGCATCCATAATATCAATTACCAGTGATGGCTCAGCCTCTACCGCCGGCGCCTCAGTCGGTTGAGGCCTTTTCGGCATTGGTGTCTCCCGGGTAGCTAGAGGTTCAACCGTAAGCGGAGGCCTCGGTGGGACACTGACTGAAGCAAGTTTGCTCGGCCTCTGCTTCTTAGAACGCCCCTTCTCGCCAGGAACATGTAGTTGCAGGGTATTCATCTCTACATCACAACTGAAGTCAGAAACACACACCAGTGACACGTGATGTGAAGTAAAAAAAAAAAACTAACCTCCGGCTGTGAAGTTGAAGAAATCTTTGACCTCAGTGGTGTTGTCGGGGGAAAGAAGGGAAAGCAACAGGCCAGAACTTTCCAAGTTGTCACGCGTTAGCAGGACGCTGACATTACGGAAGGTCTCCGGGAAGCTGAAGGCTTGTTTCACCCTTGCAAGACGATTCCCAGAAAGTTGGGGACGGTCCTGGGGAACTGCAGAGTAAAATAGGGTCAGCGGTATATACAAAAGAAGAGAAAGGAAAGTGACAGCTGTAATAGACGGTCGAAGGAAACTTACTCAGCGTCCCAAAAGATGTTCTCACACCCAGGCGCTTAAAGGGTCTGTTAGCCGGGTGAACGTCGAACATGCCCTTCACCATAAAAAATATCGGCTTCCAGGCATGTGACGATGAGGGCAACCCCTTTATTAATTTTCGTAAGATGGGCTTGGATCGCCCATAACCACCCAAAAAATACTAGCCGTCACACCTAGGGGTCTGGCATAGCTTATATACAAAAAGAAATTCATCCAAAGGCAGGTCTACATCAAACCTTTGGTCCCAAAAGACCCATATAATGGCAAAAATATACCAAAAGTTTGGGGCCAGCTGTGTGGGGGAGATACCGTGGAGGTCACACAAGGACTTTACGAACGGGTGTATGGGGAGTGTCATCCTCGCCGTAAAGGCCTGGGTGTATACAGACATATAGCCTGGGGGTGGTTGGCTCGCCCTAAAGTGGGGATCCAGTAGGAGAAACTCGAACCACCGGCCGTCCACGCGCCCCTTCTTATATGCGTGAACAATATTCCTCTTCCGTGTCTTCGGTACCACGAAGTCGGCAGTAAAGGACGGACGGTCCTCCTCTGCCCCTATCGAGGCCACTGGGACTCCCGTGTGTCGGCTGTTGGTGCTGACCATAACGCCTCCCACCAGGGAGCCAGCGCCACTGGAAGAGCCCTCCTTTTCGGTCTCACATTTGACTAGGCGATTGACGTTGTCCTCTTCATCACGTGGATTAGGGACGTAGCCCTCGACCTCTATAAGAAGTGAATCGCTGGTGGTAGAATAAGAGGAAGACTCAGTGGCTGGCGTTGGATCCGGCCTCACGAGAGGCACAAAAGATGATCCCCCTTGACGTTTAATCCCTCTAGAAGCCACTACTGTAAAGCAAAAATGTAAGGTCAATTCCTATAAGTCGAGAGGGGAAGGAAAGACAGTTTGACGCTTAAAGATCAAAATGTTTGGTCGGTTAAAGTTGAATAGTTAAAACAACGACGGTTCGAGCCTGGGCATGAACTAACCGAAGACTACTCAAACAAAGTGACAACCATTCAAACTAACCCAGAATGCCAAACAAGAAACCCCGACTCACTCAAAACTCCTATAGCCAGTCCAGGACATGGCGGATAATGTCAAAATCAGGTTCCAACATCTCCTGTCACGCCATTCCCAACTATTCCCACCACGTAGGAAACAATCTACCATGTTCCAAGCGCGATAAATAAAATAAGTTGAAAGGAAGTTTGAGAGATGCTTACCAAGGAATCAGGAGCGGAAGAGGTACACGAGCTCTTGAGATAAATGTTGCTAGAGATCCGTGAAATGGCAAGAAGGAAGTGATCCTGCAGATATTTTGGCAGAGTTTCGGCTGCTTCAAGACGGTTTCGAATGATTCAGACACGAAAAGACCTTTTATATTAACCCAAGGGCCTCAACCTCCAGCCATCTGATTAGGTACGTTCGCATCTAACGATGGGAGCACGGAGCTTGATCTGATGACTAGGGGAAGGGCGGGAAGCTAAGGAGTCACGATCGAGTGGCCTAGGTTCATCCATTCAAATAAAAGGCCACGTCAGCATAGCGATTAAACGGACGGACGATTACGCTTCTCAAGTTAGGCTCCCGTGCCCGAAGCAAACAAAAGGAGAACCAGAGCAAACCCCAGACCTAGCTCGAGGCAGTCTGAAGAAAAGCCTTGACCTGTAGGGCAGCTGTTGTGTGGGAAAATTCACATCGACACATCGGACAACGATCAGGCCACATGTGGCCCCATGGCTGCCACGTCAGTTAGCCCTCAACGCCCAAGCCTCATTGGTCTCTCCCGTATGATATAAGAGTCGAACGCATAAGGGGACTGATACCGTCGACCCTATACATAGTTGAGGCCCATAAGATTAGCTCGTGCAAAATAACGTGATGGAGTCAGCCGTGAGAGATGCTACCCGTGGCAGATTTTGGCATGGGCGCCGAGGGCAGAACACAAGCAACTGTGTTGCGTCTGGGTTTGGAGAAGGTCAGTGGTACTAGAAATGATTACAAGCCCCTAAAACCCCCTGGAACAGATCACTAGCTATTACAAGGGATCTACAGAGCTGTAATGGGGGGACAAATTAGATGAGTGAACAGTCCAAAAGGTAATGACAGGCTACGCTATAAACAAATGAGGCCATAGGCCACTTGAGTGGATGGGCCTCATGAAAGACACAGTCAAATGGTCCAAACCGCCTGCCATTGGGCATGTAATATCTGCTATAAAAGGAGCAAAGCCCCCGTGAGAAGGGGCTCTCGGATCTTGTATGTGTAATTTGTAAGAACAAAAACAAGAGAAATACAATACAGTGGATGTAGCTCTTTTTGAGAAGGGTGAACCACTATAAAACCTCTTCGTCTTTATTTTCATAAGGGACATAACGAATTCTTTTGATAATACACCAATACAAACTCTAGCAAATTCAGAAAAATTACAAGTTTCAAACCAGTAACCCAACGGGCTATCGCGGGGTAATCCGGTAAGGTCTTGTTGACGAAAACCAACCGTCAACAGGTACCATATCTTTCGCCTCATACCCATTCTCGTTTCTGTCCCCAAAGGCTCTTGGTTTTGTCCCACCTGCTCCAAGAACAAGCACAACAAGCTCAAATGTATGTGTAATATATATATATATATATAATTGAATGTCTCGGTTATAGTCAGCAACTTTCTGGGTTTTTTTTTGTGTTTCTGTAGTGATTTGGGGTTGTTCTTTTACATTTTTAAGTGGTAAATTTGAGTTGAGTTTGAGTTATAATTTGAGTTGAAGTTGTAACTTGAGTTTGTATTTGGATGTGCACATTTGAGTTATAATTTGAATTGAGAATCTTTTTGAGTTTATGTTTAGGTAGGTCATAACTTAAATTTGTATTTAAATAGTATTTTAATAAAAACTCAATGGTGATGAAAAATTTTAATAGGGTATATGGGTAAGGTTTTATTTGTCTTTTCATTGTGAATGCATAGAAAAAAAAAATCATCTCAATGAGAATTAAAACGAAAAAGTCAATGACATTTTTAAGACTAAAAAAAATATTGTCCATTAACTTGAATTCGAGTTTACAAACTCGAGTTGAAGGGAAAACTAGGCTCCGTTCATTTCACTAATTCGAGTTTTGTTACAGTAAAAAGCTCTCAGAAACAGTCACATTTAACTTTTTGCTACAGTAAAGAGTTCTCATATAAAATCACATCTAAACTCGAATAAGCAAACTAAACGGGCCCACTCGAGTTTAGCCTCAAACTCGAGTTCAAACTCAAATTTTACAAAAGAATATGAACTTGAATAAAGTTATAACTCGAGTTTAATTTTTTTTTTTTTGAATTTTGTTGCAAAAGAACAACTCCTTACTTTTTTATGCAAAACTATGATCATCTGCAATTTTTTGGTTTTGATTATTTGTTTGAAAAGTTTTTTTGGTTTGATTTGAAATTGTTCATATGTGAGAAAGTGGAAGAAAAACTGTTTATCTATGTAAGAAAGAGAGAAGATGGTGAAATTTATGGGACATTTGGTTGGAGGATTCAAACCATGATTTGAATCATGGTTCATGGTTTGTTACAGTATTTTTTCTTACAAAAAATACACGTAAATTAAAAATGATTCTAATCACATGATTCTAATCCATGAACCAAACTTCTTTTTAGAGATGAAAGATGGATTTACAGCTTTGATTTGTTGGATTTAAAGATGAAATTTAAAGAAAAAAGAGAGAGAAGAATAATGAGGCTTTTTTAACGGAGGCATTTAAGTTATTTTATTAAATAAAAGAGTCATGTAGTCACGTGATGTGCTTTATTAAAAATTTAACAAAATTTAAGGAAAAAAATTAAGCTGTTATTTTTAAAAAAAATTAGAGTTATTTTGTTAAAAAAATAAAAGATCAAATTATCATTTATTAAAGAAATTTGAACCATCTGTATAAATTACTCATATTTTATTTATGTTTTGTCGTTGACCCATTGAGGACCATAATACAGTGCAATAATTGGATAAAAGATACTTCCGACGCAAGGTCAAAAAACTTCCCTTTATTTTTTTTGCTCCAAAAAAAAAACTTTCCATTTATTTCCTCTTGTCCGACACAAGGGCATTTCCGGAAACAAAAAGATGAGCACGTGACTCCGCTTACCATCACCGCCAATGAGAGCCTAGTCTCACTATCGGACCACTGACCAAGCCAAAATCCATCCAATCAGAGACATATACCGGCGATTTTACCTCTCCCGGCACGTGACCATTTTGCCGCCTTTATTTATACCCTTCATTCGTTTTTAAAAACCAAAAGAGAAAAAATAAAAAAGAGGAAAAAAAAAGAACAGTGCGTCGAGGAAAGTACGGGGGGTTTTCTGATTTTCTTCTTCTCCTCCAAATTCCCATTATTTATCGTAGTTTTCTTCGTTTCATCTGGAAAGTTCCTGAATTTTCCGCTGCGTTCTGGAATATTGCGTATTTTGGTTTGTTTGCTGAAGAATTTTCTTCCAGTTTTCCCTTTTTCTTGAAGAGGATCGTTTTTGGAAGGAATCGGAGAGCGACAATGGCGCCGAGCGTGGCCTTGTCGTGGCAAGAACAGGCGGAGCAACTCAGAAAGGACGGAAACCATTACTTCAAGAAAGATCGTTTCCGAGCCGCCATAGAGGCTTACACGGAGGTACTTTTTGGTTCTCTGCAAAAAAGATTCCTTTTTATTATGGCTGGAGGGCTTTTTTTGCTTGTTTTATAATCCTGAATTCGTTTATGGGTTTGGTTTGATTCTCGTAAAGAAAAGAAAAGAAAACTGCATAATTTTTACGTTGTTATTGCTTTTGAATCAGTTGAACGTTCTAAACCTAGGATTTGTACTTCGTTGTTTGTTTCTTCCCATTTATGCCTTTTTTTTTTTGCTTTCCAAGTTAATAATTTTGTTTTTTGGGTTTGGATTTTAAGGCAATTACGCTTTGCCCTAATGTTCCTGTGTATTTTACGAATCGTGCTCGATGCCATCTCAAGCGGAAGTATGTACGAGCTCCGACTCATTTTCCCAATTCATTAATTTTTTATTCTCTATTCACTTTCGATTCCTTTTATTCCTATAGATCATTGTTTTAATCTGATCTTCACTTGGTTATGGTGTTTTGCAGTGATTGGACAAAAGTAGAAGAAGATTGTCGAAAAGCTATTCGGCTCGATCATAATTCTGTGAAGGTACGAATCTTAGATCATCTGTTTGGCCGTGTTGTGTACATTTTCTTGTACTTGTGCTTTCTTGGTTCTTTCTCTGCGTTTGATTCTTTAAGTGCGAGTTCTTCTTCTTCTTTTTTAATTCCCAGAACATTTGGTTGTTTATTTTTGGTTTGGCTTCGATGACTGGAAATTTGATTGTGCAATGCGGTAATAACACTTCTTTTGAAATTGAATATGCATGTTATGAGGCATGGGTGTGATCGTTCAAAATTTTTACTTGGGGATGGGTTAGCCTAAAGTAGTTCTTTTACGTGTTTCAAAGAGCGGAATGTGTTTTGTCCAATGTTAATTCCTTAGAAATTTAGTATAACATTTTGTTATATAAGTAGATTCCTAGAAGTATTCCACCCAGAGTGCTTAAATTTGATCGTTGCCTTTGATTCTTCATTCTTTTTCCTCCCCCATTTGGATTATTAGACATAATCAACTTAATACTGCTTTGTTGCATTTAGGGCCATTATATGTTGGGACTTGCATTACTACAAAGGGAAGAATATGCGGGAGGAATTAAGGAGTTGGAGAAGGTACGCAGTGCTTTATAGTTTATATACAATTTGATTATTTGATGTATTTATTAGTTCCAACTAGCATGGGATGCTTGTAGCTGTTTTGGTTATTGTGACTAATTGTGGTGACGTATTTTATTTTTGTATGTGATTTGGTTACATTGATCAAAAGCTACATAATTAAATGATTTTTTTTTTTAACTTTTGTTAGGCCTCCTGTTACGTTAGTCTATTCTAGGAGAAAGGGGCGTGGGGCAATTGTTCAAGACAAGGGGGTGGGAAATGGAAATATGGGAAATACTAGGCAGGAGAGCTGATGTGGCAAGTTGGTTAGGAATTTGTTAGCCTAGGAGAGCATATCTAGGGAAGGAGGGGGGAACGTGAGAGGTTGTTTGTTGATTTGGGAAAATCCTGTTAGCAGGCCTTGGGAGGAAGGAGAACCTCGAATTCTCCATTGTTATTTCTGCTATCTTTCTTTTCCTTTCTGTTTGTTTGTTCAGTGTAAGAAAGCTCCTCTCCAGAGAGAGAGTGAGAGTGAATTCAATCGAAGAAGCTAAACTCATTTACGAGTTGCCTCAATTTTGGCTGTCTTGATCTAAAACTAAGCAGGATCCTAACAATTTGGTATCAGAGCGTGACGATCCATGGGAGAAAACTCGAGTGTGCGATCTCAGACGGAGGAGGTAGCAAGGCTGGAGCAGAGGATGGATTCATTCTACGAGGCGTTACAGATTGTCGAAGCCTTGACTGAACCTTTGCCAAAGTTGCAGGAAGACGTGACGGAGATCGGGGCTCAGCTGGATGACGTGCAAGGGTCGGTACGGTGACTGGAAGCGATGCTCCACAGGCAGGCGGAGTTCTTCCAGAGGAATCCACCACCTCCTCCAAGATTTGAAGCGGTTCCACCAAGGATGCAGGAGGGACGACGGCCGGTACCACAGGCTCGGCCGGTGACACCTCCCCCAGTCCCACGCGAGGAGGAACCCCGGCAATTTAGGCGCGAGTGGTGGCGGGAATCACCCCCAGGCCCAAGGGGCCGAGTGGAGCACCGCAGACGGAAGCTGGAGCTACCCATATTCAACGGCGAGGATCCTCAAGGGTGGGTATTCCAGGCTGACAAGTATTTCGTCGTCAACCACGTAGAGGAGGAAGAGCAAGTGGTGGTGGCGTCGGTGTGCATGGAGGGACAAGCACTGGGTTGGTTCCAATGGGCTGACGCCCAAGACCCGTTCGGATCGTGGAGGGAATTGCGGGCGGCGGGGCTTGCGAAGATTTGGTCGGGGGAGGGAGGTCGATCCAGTGGAGCAACTCATGGCACTCCGGCAGCGCGATACGGTGGCGGATTACCGGAATGAGTTCGAGGGAGCGGCGGCTCAAATGCGGGGCATGCCCGATGCCATCTTCAGAGGGATGTTCCTTCACGGGCTTAGGGAAGATATACGGGTTGAGTTGAAAATGCACAGGCCCGTTACTTTGCATGATATGATGGATTTGGCCCAACAAGTAGAGGCCCGCAATGAAGCAGCTGAGAGAGTCAGGAGGTACCGGGCGGGTCGTGGGCTTGGCTGACACGTGGGAACGAGCCGGGGGCCCAATTCAGGGCACAAATCCTACCTTGTTCTCCTAGGAGAGCCCCCTTCGATCCAAGGGTCCAAATGAAGCGGTGGGGGTATATGGGGGACGAGGTGGGATGGGCACAGGGCAGAACTCGGCGACAGGGGGAGCTTCGTCTTCCCGCCGCCTCACGGAGGAGGAAATCCAGCAACGACGAGCTCGGGGCTTGTGTTTCAGGTGCGACGAGAAGTTCAACCCCGGGCACCGTTGTAAGAACCGGCAACTTCAAGTGTTGATTTTGGCGGACACAGAGGGAGCATCCGAGGAGGAGGATGGCGCTGTTCAGGAGCATCTTCTGGAGGAGGAGTTGGAAAAAGGGAGCTTGGAAGACAAGGTGGATTTGTCTCTGAACTCCCTGCGAGGATTGTCTTCCTCCAAAACACTAAAGCTGCGGGGCAGAATCGGTGGCCGAGAAGTGGTGGTGATGGTAGACAGTGGGGCTACTCACAGTTTCATCTCGGGAACGGTAGCAAAGGAGCTTAAACTGCCGATGGACCCCACGGTAAGTCACAACATCGTGGTGGGCAACGGGCTTAGTTTAAGCAACGAGGAGTATGTAGGGCGGTTTGGGTATGGATCCAGGGGCATAGGGTCGAGGACTTTTTCCCCTTTGATTTGGGTGGGGCTGATATGGTGCTGGGGGTGACATGGCTGAGCACTCTCGGGGAAGTAAGAGCTGATTGGTCCAAGTTCCTTTTGAAATTTCGGGCTGGACCAACGTGGGTAACCTGGCGAGGTGACCACAGCTTGTGCTATGCCCCGGTGAAGTTGAGTTCTCTAGTGATGACGTTGTCTCCAAAAGGAGTTAGGGTGTTGGTGGAAGTGTGCAAACTCTCGGTGCAAGGAGGGGACGAAGGCGACAGAGTGGTGCCAGAAGAGGTGAGGACAGTGGTGTGTGATTTTGAAAGGGTATTCCAAAGTCCTACGGAGCTACCTCCTCACAGGGAACGGGATCACAGGATTGTCTTGAGGGAGGGGGCCGATCCCCCGAATGTTCGGCCCTATCGATATCCACAAGTACAGAAAGGAGAAATAGAGCGCTTGGTGACGGATATGTTGTCTTCGGGCATCATTCAGCCGAGCAGCAGCCCTTATTCGAGCCCAGTCATTTTGGTTAAAAAAAA